ATTATTATTATTATTATTATTATTATTATTATCACGTTAACCCCGTTGCTCCTGGGTCACATGCTCGCAGTTGTGCCCCCTGCCCCACCCTGGGGCGCCCTGAGCCCCGGTGCTCCTCTTCACTCGTTAACATGGCTGTGCTGAAGTGCAGCTAATGGACTAATTACCTGGCGGTGCCTTGGAAGAGACCGGCTCCAGCGACCCTGGAGCAGTCGTTCCTCGGGCGCCCGTGTTACTGAGTCAGCGCGTGTCCCCCGCCGAGGGGGCCAGACAGCGCCCATCGCCGGGGGGGCCAGACAGCGCCCGCGCGTGTGACTGCGCTCCCCCCATCACCAGCCTCTGCTCGTGGCCTTAGCGTATCTGTTCTTATCACAGGTGGTTGAATCTGGTGTTTTCAGCGATTTTAAGAAGCAGAAGAAACAGAATACAGGTCACTGCTATGTCTCGGCAGCGTGTGGGGAGACTCATACACACGGGACCGGTTCATCTTAGCAGGGTGGATGGTTTAGCAGTGTTTTGCCCGCAAACATGATCACATGTGTAGCGTGGGTTTAACACCCCTACTCTGTGCGTATGCATAGGCATAGAGCAGGATTGTTATCCCGGCATCCTGGCCAAATTTCCCATTGGGAACTTTACCAATCATGGCCTCCTAATAATCCCCATCCCTGAACTGGCTTCATCCCTCTGTTCTCCTCCCCACTGAGAGCTGGTGTGTGGGGAGCGGACTGGTGCATCATCCAGGTGGGGCTGCACACTGGTGGTGGTGGAGGGGATCCCCATGACCTGTGAAGCGCTCTGAGAGGAGTGTCCAGAAAAGCGCTGTATAAGTGTGAGGAATTAGGATTGTTATTGCATGCAAGATACTTTCTCGCGGGCGGCGTGCAGGCATGGCGATCAGTGTCGCTGTCCCGCAGCACCTGGGGTTTGGTCCTGGCCCCCCCGGGCCTCTTCCCCGGGGGGGAGGGGGGGATGATTGTCTGTTCTCAGAGCTGTAGCTCTGTCCAGGGTCCTGCAGGGGAGTGGGGATCCATCTGTGTTGGGGGGAGGGAGGTGGGGGTTGTCCTTGATACTTCCAGGACGACGCCCCCTCTCCCCCCACCCTTCAGGATCAGCCCACGCAGTTGTACGGATCCCATTTACATGCCCGCCGATGCCGACCGATTCCGTTTCCTTTCTCTCGCCCCCCCCCCCCTCCAGAACTCCATCCGCCACAACCTGTCCCTGCACAGCAAGTTCCTGCGGGTGCACAACGAGTCCACCGGGAAGAGCTCCTGGTGGATGCTGAACCCCGAGGGGGGCAAGAGCGGGAAGGCGCCGCGGCG